CATTTCCTCCCCCAATGTCCCAGGTGCCTTTCAAGCTACCGCCCCAGGGCTGGAGCTCAGAGGGATTGCATCTGAGTAAGTCCATGTGCCGGCCCTTTAAGAGGAACTGCTGAGATTCCTGCAGCCTCCATGTCACTCAGCCACAATCCCAGCTGGTTTTTACAGCCTGAAGTTTTACAGGGATTCTCTTCCCAGCTCTGGAACCCTGGGTGTGGGGCTGGGATCCCTTGCTCCTCGTAGGTGGCCTCTGCAGCCACGATATCCCTCCTGATTAAAAAAATGCCACATGTGGGTGTCAGAACAGCCCGTCCCTCCTCCGCCCCTTCTGCTAGTCTTGAGGTGCTTTCTTCTTTGCTTCTCTAATTGTGGGACTTCTATTCAGTCAGATTTCAGTGGTTTGAATGATGGTTGTTCTGTATCTTAGTTGTAATTTTGATGCTGTGGGAGTCGGCAAGTACCACATTTACCTGCACCACCATCTTGGCTTTCCATGCTTACAAGTCTTTATGGAGACATATGTCGTCCTCTCTTGGGCAGATACCTAGGCGTGGGATTTCTGGGTCATGTGCTTGGTGCATTGGGCTTGGACATGCCCAGGGAGGCCAATGAGAAGCTGCCAAGATATTTTTACAAGTAGTGTTCCCACCAACCATGTGTGAGCATTCCAGTCGCCCTGCAGGCTTGCCAACACTTGGTGTTGTCAGTTTATTTCATCGTTGCCATTCTTGTGCGTAGGTCGTGGCATCTCTTTGTAGACTTAATTTGTGTTTAGCTAATGACTAGTGTGCCTGTGAGCCATTCCTATTATCTTCCTTCATGAAGTGTCTGTTCAAATCCTTTGCCCGTTTTTCTCTTGGGTTGTTGGTCCTACTGTTACTAAATTTGATGGGTGCCTTTGAAACCCACAATATGCCCTCCCAAGTGCGCTGGCTTCAGAGGCAGCGTGAAGCTGTGTTTAGGAACACCGGCTTTAGTAGACCATCTGAGTGTGGAACTAGGGAGGGAGGGCAGGCGTGGGGAGCCATTGTAACAGGAGAGTCCGCAGCTGACTGGGAGGCAGGCCCAGGTCCTTGAGCAACTTGTTCTAATCTTAGAAGTTATGCCTCAGCTTTCTGCTGTGGCCTGAAGGACAAGCATCCCAGACCTCGGGGCGCAGACAGTCACTCCCACTCAGGAAGCAGGAATGGCCCTAGTGACGGGGATTCCTCCGGGGCCTCCGGGCACCCTGGTGCAGTGGCTCCCTGGGCCCGGCCCACCCCTCGGACTCACAGGGGCTTCAGTGATACCAGGTTTCTTACGGGACTGACCTACGTGAGAGGAGCACATGACAGGGAGCCCTACACTTACCCTGAGGAGCAATGGAGGGTCGGTTTACCTGCTGGCCTCAGAGCCAACCCGTCTCCATCACCACCAGCCACACAGAGGCACCTCCCACTTTCCACACGCTTCCCTCCACCCCTACCCCGCCCACACACACACACAAAAAAAGCCAAGCTCGGCTGGTGTGCTCAGTGGTTGAGCATCGGCCTACGAATCAGGGCACATGCCCAAGTTGTGGGCTCAATCCCCAGTAGGGGGCGTGCAGGAGGCAGCCGATGAATGATTCTTATCATTGATGTTTCTATCTCTTTCCCTCTCCCTTCCTCTCTGAAATCAATAAAAATATATTTTAAAACAAATTTTAAAAAGCCCAGCTGTTCAGAGGCTGCTGACTTGGCCCGCCCCTCCGCCTCTGCGCACCATGGGTGGGAGGAGGGAGGAGGAGAGAAAAGCAGGGCGAGCAGCCCAGCCCATTGGTGGTGGCGCCCCCAGCAGGCCCTCCAGCTCCATGCGGCCTGGCTCCTGGCCTGTGCTGAGGCGCATCCTGGTTTGTCTGCCCTTCAAGCCCAAGCAGGTGCTTTGGGGTCCGTCCTGGGCCCTCTGCTCCGTCCCCTCGGTGAGGACTTTCCACACCCTGGGCTTTGGGGGAAATACTTGATGGGCCTCTTAGGAACAGGGAAAGAATGCAGAGTCCTGGGGAAGCTCGGGGTCCCAGGAAAGTCTGGGGCAAGGCGGGGACACCAAAGTCCTTCTCAGAACTAGGAGCACAGCCCCGGTGAGAGCAGTGCTTAGCAAACCAGTCTCGGGACTGAGCGAGCTCCCAACACCTTAGCTCGCCAGCCTGGGGCCGGGGGTGGGGTGTCCTGGGACCTGGGGCCCAGGTGGGGTGTCCTGGGACCCTGGGGGTTAGAAGTCACACCTGCAGGAACTGCAAGGCAGAAATCCAGGCAGAGACTCACACAAGCTGAGCCCTGTCCAACCCCCCCCACACACAAAGACTTCTCCCGCTGTGCCAGGCAACCCAGCGGCTATAGCTCCACTAGTTGTATAGCACTTTGCAGTTTGCAAAGCACCTCAGCAATTTCACTACTTAACTGGTATGCATTGCTAGGCTATCAGGGGTTGAAGTCAATTATTTCATAGGTTATTCCGTTTGGCTTTCCTGTGTGACTCTGCCTAAGTTACTTGCCCTCTCTGGGCTGCAGTGAGCCCAGCTGTGAGAGGGCAATACTAGTCTTCCACACAATGGCCGAGAAGGCTCTGGAGAGTGGACTTGCTCAGCTCAGCCAGCTCTGGAACCGGCAGGCATTCTAAAGGAAGCCCATTCACTGGGCTCCAGGAAAGCACACCCGGACGAACTGTAGTCTTTCTTTCTTTCAGCCCTAAATGCTTCCAGAAGCCTCTCGTTCCCTCGCCTCCGAGCCCCTTGCCCAGCCCCATTCGGGACAGGGAAGTCCGGGAGGCCTTTGATCCCTGCGCGGCTCTATTTTTATCTGGAATGTGTCTCCCTGCACCGCAGCCATGGGCGCCTCGAGCCGAGGTGAAGTGCACGGTCAGCAGGACCCGAGCAATAAATAGCAGCGGACAGAGAGACTGATCCGCGATGTGGGCAGAAGTCAGACAGATGCACAGACCCATCGGCGCTGTGCCAGGAGCGGCTCAGTGAGTCTCACCGTCCCTCAAGCCGCCCTTGTTCCCGGACAAGACGTTTGCCTCCTGGCGCTGCTAACGTGGGAGTGTGCTCACCGGTGCGGTCCCGTGAGCTCTGCCCGCCAGGCCCTACCCCAGGCCCGAGACACCCCGCCTTCAGTGTTATGGGGAACTCCGGTGTCTTCGCTGGAGGGGACTCCCTTGTTGAGTTTGCTGTTCAGGCTGGAGGGGTGAGCTTGGAGGACCAGATGCTACTTGAGTGTATCACTCATGGATGGATGTGTAGAGGTATAATCTGGCCTGGTCTGAAGCTGTCCAATGGGTGACAGGTCTGAAACAACCCAAACACCCATCCCCATGGTCCCCCTCCACCCCGCTCCCACTCCACCCCAGGCCTCACTACCCTGACGGCCCGTGGCCTGCAGTTCCTCCCCATCTCTAGACAAGCCTTCTTCGCAGAGCTTGGTCCGTGTCCTTAGCATCGCGGCGGGAGGTTAGTGGGGTCACATCTGCTCCTCCCACTCCAAGGCGGCAGCACCATAGCAGGACCCCTCACATTCACTTTGGAGGGACACCCAGACCAGAAAGCGTGGAGATGCTTTTAGCATAAAAGGAGGGCCTAGGAAGTGTGTGTGTGTGCTTATGTGTGCATGTGTGTGTGCATGCATGTATGTGTGCATCTGTATGTGCATCTGTGTGCATGCGTGTGTGTGTGTGCATATGCATGAATGTGTATCTGTGTGTGCCTGCGTGCACGTGTGCGTGCGTGTCTGTGCAGTACACAGGGAGGCAGACTTGCTGCTGGAGGAACAGCCTGAGCCCAGGGAGGGGAAGAGAGAGCCGGACCAAACCCTGTGTCTGGGCAGCAGCTTGCCCGGAGAGGGAGTCTGAAGTCTGTGCAATAAATGCCATCATTCTGGTCACAACAACAAAGGCCTAATGTCTCTGAGACCAGACGTTTAAAAACATGATTAAAACCAGGTGGTTATGTGAGCCGCGTGTGACCTCACAGACGTGGGGTGGCCATTTCCAGCGCTCGCTGACTCACCCATGTGTCTGTGACAAATGGCCCACGGGAGTGAGCGGAGTCCAGGGTGCATCTTGGCCTCTTCAGGGAGCCTGCAGGCCCCTTTGGGGGGACGGTCACTGTAACCCGATGACCTCCCTGGAGGCAGAGCAGGGCAGGACCAGCCTACTCCTTCCACGAAAAGGAACATGGTGGGGGGTGGGGGGAGTGGGTGAGTCTCCCAGAGAGGACCCTGTGGAGGGAGTGACATCGCATGCTACCCCACTGGCCTCGCCAAGGGCTCCGGGAAGGGCCCCGTCGCCCGGAGTGGTGACAGCCCTTCTAGAGGCCTGTCCTGCACTTTCCGTAGGAAAGCATTTCATCCACAGACCCTTCCGGGGCCACACAGCCACTGTCCTTGTCACTGAACGCCTTGCCAGCAGCCCACGGGACAGCTCACGGCCGAGTCCAGCAGGCAGGGCCTCCTCCGCCAGGCTGCCTGTGCTCGTGCTGTGTGTTTATTAGTTTGACAAATAGTTACTGAGCACGTCACCATCCGCACACCTGGTGACATGAGGGGATGCGGTCATACACGCGTGGGAAGCTCAGCGAGGGCACCGGTCAACCGTTTCATACACTTAAAGGCCCCCCTCTCCAGTGCCTGCCACCAGCCCCCTGTGGCCAGTGCTGTCAGTAATACAACAGAATGAAGGCCCGTCTGCCTCCCAGACCCCTGGGCTCCTCCAGGACAGGGCCCGGCTGTGTTTCCCTCAGCTCCCCAGGGCCACCCAGGGCCCAGCACATCGTAAACATTCACTACCTGTGGCAGATTGAGAGTTGCTGTTGTTTTAATCTTTACATGTAGGAGCCAATTGCAAAATGCAGTTCAAAGATCTCACGGTCACCACCTCTGGCTGTGGCCACAGAACAGGTGCCGGCATGGCCCTGGCATGGCCCCAGCGTCGGTGCTGAGCTGAGCCAGTGCCCGGCTCCCATTAACCGCCGCTTCCCCTTGTTTTGCCAGGAAAGACCCGCGGAGACCAACGCCAATGTGGACAACTCGGCGTCCCCCTCGGTGGCCCAGCTGGCCGGGCGGTTCAGGGAGCAGGCAGCCGCGGCGAAGGAGGTGAGTCAGGCGGCTCGCAGCGCTGCTCTGGGAGGGGGCTGGCGGAAGGGGAAGTCTGGGTCAGGCCCAGAGGAGAGGGAGGGAGGGAGGAAGCGTGGTAATTACCAAATTAGGAAGAGAAGCCATAGAGGGTCCCCTGCATGTGAGGAATGTCGTGGCCACTGCTGGGCCAGGCAGGATCTCCCAGCAGCGAGGCCTTCACGCAGGGCGGGGCGGGGGGGGGGGGCGGGGGGAGCGGGGCCAGAGCCACCCGCAGGCCAGCGGAGGTGGGGTCTGGGTCCCGGCCGCCTCCATCACCCACTGATAGAGACCTGGTCGTGCCAGCTGTGCCAGGCCTAGGCTGGTCAGAATAAAGACCTCCCCGCTGGCTCCTGCCTGGAGCTCAGGATTCCCAGCGAGGAAGCAGGAAACCAGGGTTGGGAAAGGGAAGGGACCCAGTGGCCAAGGGGTTCTAGAAGGATCCTGCTGGAGAGGACAGTGTGAAAAAGTGTCCTCAGGTGGAGATTCACACTAGGGTTTCCTGAGCGCCCGGTCTCACGTGCTCGCTGGAAGGGGGAGGGGCACCTGAGGGGGAGGGTCACAGGCCCCTGGGGCCAGCGAGGGTGCACTCGTCAGGCTGTTTCAGGCGCATTTATTTTGCGCTTTTGTTTTCTGGTCTGAGAAAGCCGTCCATCGTTTCTAGACACAAGGGAATGGCATAAAGGGCAAGGAAGATGGTATTGGTCAGAGGTGCTGGCGGTGCCTGGAGCTGAGCGTGGGTGTAGTCTGGGGACATTTCAGGCCAGTGGCTGCAGCAGGCAAGGGTCCCGCAGCCTGGCGGGAACGGGAGCCAGAGCTGACTGCGTGTGGGTGGCGGGGAAGCGGAATTCACTGACCCAGCTAAGGCCAATCTCAAGGACACACCACCCCTGCCGCCATCCTTTCCTCCTCCCTGACATCCCTGAAGCCGCTTCCACTTCCTCCTCCTCCCTGTTGCCTGACTTGCTCTCTCTCTGTGTGTGTCTGTCCATCACTCTTCCGCCCTCCAGATGCCAGCCAGTAAGCCTGCCAGGAGGAAACCGCCCTGCTCCCTCCCCCTGTTCCCTCCCAAGGTAGAGCTGGGCCAGAACGGAGAGGAGGTAAGTGCGGGGAGACGCTGAGTATGTTTTCTTCCTCCTTCTCATAAGAAGGGAGGCAAAATCATTACCCTCAGACACCTGTGCAGGCGAGGACCCCCTTGTAGACTCAGGGATGAACTTCCTGCATCCTTGTCTGACAATGAGGCTTGGTCCATGCCCCCCTACTGAACCTTGTTTGTGATCCGTCAGGGGCAGGGATGCTGTTTTTCAAGCCTGGGAATTTCAGCAAAGAGAGCAGGCCCTGTGGTTTCACCCCACCCCCATCCAAGGGCCCTTAGAGTCATGCTTGCCCCCCAGGTCGGACCTACACAGTCTCCCATGCAGAGACGTGCCAGGAGGGAGGGCTGTGCTTAACCTCAGGCAGAACTGTACCGTGGGAATCACGACAGGCCACTGCTCTGGACCACTGAAGCAACCCAGAGCGCACAGGGGGCTCGCTGCCCTCAGAGAGAAATCGCCCACGTTACCAACACAGGAGAGGCCCTGGTGGCATAGGTCACCCCAGGCAGGAAGGCAGGACCCAGTCAGCCCCTCGGTTCCTAGTGTGCAGTGCCTTGTCTGCCCAGAGAAGGGCTGAAAACACTTCCGTCTGAATAATCAGGCTCCTAACTTCTAGACGTCACTAGAATGTCCTATATGGACATAGAAACACCCATATTGAGGGTGGACCCTGGCTTTTCTCCACCACCACCTCCCCCCACCTCCCTTCCCCAACCACTTGCCTGGAGCTGCTTAAGTGGTAAAGGAAATGCTGCCCCCTGCTGCCGTTCGCAGGAACTGCATTGGTGGCAGATGTATTCCTAGAGCGGTCTTTCAAGGGCACTTGGGTCTTGCATTAGCGGCTATTTAGAATCCTGCTTTGCAGTTCAATTCAAATCAACAAGCATTTCGTGGATCCTGAGCTGGGTTCCCAGGCCTGTGCTATGGCAAAGGGGCCGGGTTTATTAAATTTCCACTCTCTTCAGAACGTCGTGGTCAGCTGGGGAGAAGGGGTCACAGGACGACGTAAGGGAGGCTTTATCAGTAGCATCGTTGCTGCCATTTCTACAACGGCATCTTCAGAAACACCGGCTCCTGAGAAATGTCACCTTAAAGCACAGAGATTAAGGACAGCCCAGCCTGGGCTGGAAGCTCTTGTGCTCGCCATGGACACGAGTTCCTTGAAAGACCGCTCTAGGAATACATCTGGGTGTGAACTCACGGGCCAGGGGCAACCTGGAGCTGGAGGGCGGGGCCCTTAGATTCACTGACTCCATCTGCTGCTGGACCCTGGCCGAGGCGGGGTAGCCCGTGCTCCTGTCTGAAGCCGAATGAGAAGGGGCGGGGGCTCCTGGGTCCTGGCCAGTGACTGTTCCTCGCAGCCCCCCCCTGAGTGCTGGGCCTTACAAAGGTCCCAGGAGCTGAGTCCATCTCCTCCTTCCTTTGCTGAAATACAGCCGCCTCACTCAGAACACTCAGACCTCTAGGGACTGGTGTTATTCTTCCCATGATGCAGGACAATTAGAACATGGGGTGAGGGGTAGGGCCTAGGTGTTAGGCCCCCTATAGCTGCCTCGGCCTCTGTCCAACAACATGAAGTGTCTCCTCCTCCTCCTCCTCCTCCTCCTCCTTCCTTCATTTTTCTTCTTCATCATCATCGCCATCATTCCTACATGTGAGGATGAATATATCTGTGGAGCCAGACTCAGTTGTAGGGATTTTGCACAAAACAGAAAGGAGTTCATCTTTTTGGATAACATCAAATCAAAGCAAGATAAGATTTCTACATCCATTCATCGCAAAAATATCTTCACCTAACAGAGTGCAACTTCATGCAACCAGCATAAAGCCTGGAATGTGGTAGATGCTCCATAAATGTCTGTTCATCAAAATGAATAGTCAGTGCTTTGGAAAATGATAATTTTTTTGTGGGATTTTCCAAATACCACTAGTTCAAGGGGGGAATTTCCAAAATACCTGTCAGGTTTCACTCCTGGTCGGTGGTTTCTTGTTTTGTTTGTGACCAACGGAATGGGGTTATTTTGTCCTTTCTCTTTGAAATTCCCTCGAGTATTGTTGAAGGTCATGAGGTACAGAGAAGTCCCCTCTCAGGCACCGTCTGTTCCCTCGAAATGAACATGAGATCATCTTGCTGGTACAGGAGACCTCCTGTATTTTGGGCATCTGTCCTGCCTGCTCTGATCCTGCTCTGAGAGAGATGGAGTGGGGGGAAGTCCGCCTCACCAGGCCCTGGGGGGGAATGTGGGCCTCCATAGCTGGGTGAAGCCAACTCCTCCTCCTCCACCTGTGGCTTCTGGGCTCCAGGACCCCGCCTCCCTCCACCCCACTCATTCAGTTGTTTTGGTCCGTTTGCTCTGCAGAAATCACCACCCAACACAAGCCACCTTCCCAAGGTGAAGGTGAAGAGCTCGCCTCTGATTGAGAAGCTTCAGGTGAGTGCAGCGACCTCTTCCCCAACATCTGCATGTCCGTGTCACCTGGAGAGTTGGCCTCCGACCACCAGCTAGGGACCAAATTGCCCTGGAGGACGAGGGCTCCACCTGGAGCCAAAGCGCCAAAACGAGGTCCCTGTCAAGCATGCGCTCAGGTAGCTGACACCTAGCAGTGCTGATGGAGAATGGAGCGCCCCAAGGGTCCTCCAAGAAAAGGGCATGACCGTGCAGGAGACACTCCCGGAACCGCGGGGCCCTCTCCCCCAAGGCCTGGAGGCAGCCACCAACCATGCCAGCCTAACACAGGCTGCAATTCGGCTGCTGGCCCTGGACGCAGGACCCCTCCACCCATCACAGTGCGCCCAGAGCCGAGCAGGCTTCCCTGGGGAGTAGATGAAGCACATGTCGGGGCAGTGGAGCTCACAGCCTTGTTGGGAGACAAGATTTCCCCACGCAATACAGCAAAGCTGTGTAGGAGCGTAAATACCAGAGCTCTCCATTGTAACTGCCTGGCTTCTCCTGCCTAGACCAGGGTTTCTCTGCGTGGCATTGCCTGGGCTGGGTCCTTTCCTTGCGCGGGCGGGGCTGCCTTGTGCATTGAAAGATGTTCAGCAGCGTCCCTGGTCCCTTCCCACAAGATGCCAGTAGCACTTTCCCGCAAGTGGTGACAACAAAAAATGTCCCCAGACATTGCCAATGACCTCCTGGGCACAGAATAGTCCACCCCACCCCAGGCGCCCCACCACTCTAGAATTCTGGAGCTAGGCAAGGCCAGGTAAACCAAAGAGCTAGAGCAGAAACTCACCTTCTCCTGCCCCGATTTGAAATGTCTCTTCTCCTCTCAACAGGCCAACCTAGCCTTCGACCCCGCCGCCCTGCTGCCTGGGGCCTCACCCAAGAGCCCTGGACTCAAGGGCGCAGTGTCACCATTTCACAGCCCACCTTCCACGCCCAGCAGCCCCGGGGTGCGGTCTCGGGCCAGCGAGCCAGAGGAGGTGCCCATCAGCTTCGACCAGCCTCCAGAGGGCAGCCACCTGCCCTGTTACAACAAGGTACTGCCTGGGTCCGGAGTCTGTGGAAACGTGGGCACTGGATGTTCCAGAACCAGGTCTACCCTGTGGTTGTGTGGTTGCCCCGGAGAGAGGAGGGCACATTGGAGCCGTGGTCAGGACTGGTTATCACAGGAGGAAACGTCCCTGAGCCGGGGTCAGCCCTCTCCCTGCCTGCCCGTCTCCGCTCCCGTGTAACTGTCACCAGAAAGGCAGGCTTAGGGTGGTGAGCACTCTCCTTGGTGGAAGGAGCGTGGGAACTTGGGACTGAGCCCACCTGCACAGAGTTCTGTCAAAGCTGAAAACCAAAGCTAAAGACCTGGTCAGTGACTGGGCAGGGTCGCTAGGACTTGAAAACACCCTGCTCTGGCCTGGTGTGACGACTCCTACGTGCCCAGTATGGGCTCAAAGCAATTATTTTTGTGGTAGGCATTCTTGCCCCAGTTACAGACCATCCAGACTGGTCCCTCTGCCAAAAGCTGTTTGGCCGGCTGGTTTCCACAGATGCTGCCCCCATACTCCGTGCCCCCTTTCATTGGCTCCCTGGCCCTACCAGGAGGTGGTAAGTTTCAGAGACACAGTGCAAGCAGGTGCCCAAAAAATGTGGGGCGGAGCCAGGCAGGGGCTAATGCCAGGACATGGCATTGGGTGTGACTTTGCAACTAGGGATGGAGGGAGCGGCACCTTCGGGGCCATTCCAGAAAAATCTATCTGGGGAAAAAGGTCAAGTGTGTAGAAACAGGTGGGGCCCAAGGAAGCAAACTGGTGTGTAGAGGTGATGGGCGGGCTTGAGCCTGCTGGCTTCGAGTCAGGAGATCCTGCAGCCCAAGGTGATAGGCAGAGGGGCCCAGAGGACAGGCTTGTCTCTCACAGGTGTGATAGGGAGTAGGGGCAGGGAGGGAGGTGCTGGCACCTGGTCATATACCAGGCTTCAGTGTTCTGACGGCAGCAAGGGAGCAGGAGAGATTAGTTCTGAGACCTCCTGGCCGTGAGGCCTGGGCCCTGATCCCCTGCAGGGCTGGCCTCCTGTGGTCTCAGGAAAGGCCTGGGAAGCCTTCTAAACCACAGTATTCATTCCAAACCCCTGAGATGGAATTAGGATTGACCACTACCAAAATGAAAGTCAGTAGGAAAATAAAATTTATGACAATAAGGTTCAATTGACGTCATTAAAGGCCACATCCCTTGAGTGGAGTCAGGCATAAACATTTCCAGGGAACTTCTGACGAAGTCCGGAGGGCCATGGTGAGTCCTGACCTCAGGTCCACATGCTTCCCAGGGAGGAAAGGACCTGCACCCGCTCTGCTGGGCGCTCCTGAGACACAGCTTCTGGTCACGGTGATGCCCAGAAAGGAAAGACCTGGCTGCTCAGCTCTCCCAGGGTCACCCAGCCTTGTGTGGACAGGAAGGGTCGAGCTGGGGGAAGGGAGGAAGCTGGTCACCAGCTCTGCCACTCTGAGGTTGCTGTGCCAGGGCTGGGCCACCAGCAGGCCCCAACCCTCTTCTCTGTTGGGTTTACCTTTGTCAAAGTATAATCTTCAAAACATTAAAACATGTCTCATGCAAAACAGGTATCAATTTTATCCTCAATTTATGAGGAAACCTGCAAGATGGTGAAGCTCATTCAAAGAACATTAGAAGAGGGATAGAACCAAGATGGCAGCGTAGGTAAACGTGGTACCCACCGGCTCCCACAACCACATCAAAATTACAACTAAAATACAAAACCACCATCATTCAGAACCACCTGAAATCTGGCTGAATGGAAGTCCTACAACTAGAGAAGTAAAGAAGAAAGCACATTGAGACTGGTGGGAGGGGCAGCGGTGTAAAACGGGCTGGTCTGACACCCATCTGTGGCCCCAGGCAGTGGCTGACTTTGCACCTCCTGGGAGGCCCAGAGCCAGTGCATCCAGTGGACAGCTTCAGACCACACCAGATTACAACTCTACACATCCATCCATGAGTGATACACTCAAGGGGAAGACTCAGTGAGCACCAAAGCCCCACTGAAGAAAGTCCTGCTCCATAGGAATGCCTCCTGCACAGCAGTTCTTCCACTGTAGTTGCAGCTGGTCCTGACAACTGGCCTGGGGGTCAATTCCTCCCAATGACACTAACAGCAATCAAGGCTCAACTGCAACAAGACAGTGCATACATCCCACACCAGGGGGCACCTAGAGTGTGCAGCTCAGGTGACTGGGGAGGCTGAGCCGCTGGGCCCTACAGGACACCTACCACACAAAGCCACTCTACCAATTCCAGGAGACAGAGAAGCTTTAACTAATACATAGAAACAGACACAGGGTAGCAGCCAAAATACGGAGACAAAAAACCATGTCACAAATGAAAGAACAGAAGAAATCTCCAGAAAAAGAACTCAATGAAATGGAAGCAAGCAAACCACTAGATACAGAGTTCAAAACAATGGTTATAAGGATGCTCACGGCTCTTAATGAGCGCTTCAGGGGACTTAGTGAGAATTTCAAAGAAATTAGTGAGAACATCAAAGACATAAAAAAAGGACCAGTCAGGAATGACGGGTACACTAACAGAAATGCAGAATAACTTACAGGGAATCAACGGTAGAGGAGAAGATGCTGATAATCAAATCAACAATTTGGAATATGAGGAAGCAAAAAACACCCAATCATAAGAGCCAAAAAAAAAAATAATAATAATAATAATAAAATTGAAGATAGTGTAAGGAGCCTCTGGAACAACTTCAAGTTACCAGCATTCGAATTATGGGGGTGCCAGAAGGAGAAGAGAGAAAGCAGGAGATTAAACACCTATTTAAAGAAATAATGACAGAAAACTTCCCCTACCTGGTGAAAGAAATAGATTTACAAGTCCAGGAAGTGCAGAGAGTCCAAAACAAGATGAATCCAAAGAGGCCCACACCAAGCCACATCATAATTAAAATGCCAAAGGTTAAAGACAAAGAGAGAATCTTAAAAAGCAGCAAGAGAAAAGCAGTTAGTTACCTACAAGGGAGTACCCATATGATGACTGTCAGCTGATTTCTCAACAGAAACTTTACAGGCCAGAAGGGAGTGATGAATAGCAAGGACCTACAACCAAGATTACTCTACCCAGCAAAGCTGTCATTTAGAATTGAAGGTCAGATAAAGAGCTTCCCAGACAAGGAAAAGCTGAAGAAATTCATCACCACCAAACCAGTATTACATGAAATGTTGAAGAGTATTCTTGAAGAAGAAGAAGAAGAAGAAGAGGAAATATGAACAATGAAATGGCAATAAATACATATCTATGAACAAATGAATCTAAAAATAAACAAAAAAAGGAATCTAATGGACAAAATATACTGATGAATAAAATAGAACCAGAGGCATGGAAACATGGAACAGACTGATGAATCTCAGAGGGAATGAGGGGGGGAGGGGGTAAGAGGGGGGAGAGGTTAACCAAGGAACTTAGGTGCACATATGCGTCACCTACGGACACAGCCAATAGGGTGGTGAAGGCCTAGGGCAGGGTGGCAACCGGGTTGGGGGGGGGGGCAGTGGGGGATAAAAGGAGGACATCTGTAATACTCTCAACAATAAAGATTTAAAAAAAAAAAAAGAGCATTCGAAGAACTGGTTATTTAGAGGCAATTGAAAAAACCAAGGTTGGATTAAAATGGCTAAATTAGACACCTAACCAATGACTGCTTGCTGGGCAAGGAAGTCCTGGCTACACTCTTCACTGGGTGGGAAGGCAGCACCTTCCCCAGGGGCTGCGGGGGTTTCACAGCCCCGGGCGGGCCTGTGGGATGGGCGGGCCGGGCCGCTCCGGGGAAGCCGCGGTCCCTGGGCCGCCGGAACCGAGTTTCCTCCTTGGCCGGCTGCCGGGTTCGGTAACTCTCCTTGTATCTTCTTCCAGGTGCGCACCAGGGGCTCCATAAAGCGGCGCCCCCCGTCGCGGCGGTTCCGCAAGTCGCAGTCGGAGTTCGGGGAGCTGGGCGATTTCCGGGCGCCGGAGCCGGCCCAGGAGAACGGGGCGCGGGAGGAAGCCGGGGACCAGGCGCTTCCGCCCCAGAGCCCGGCCCCGGGCTCCCCTCCGCCCGGCGAGGAGGCGGGACGGGGCGCCAGCCGGACCCCGGGGTCCCCCGAGAGGCCCCCTCTGAGGAGGACGCCCAGCAGGACGGACCCGCAGGAGGGGGAGGCCCGGGCCCCCGAGGAGGCCGCGCCCCCGGCCCCGGGCCCCGGCGCAGCGGCCCCGGGCGCAGAGGAGAGCGGGTGCGGGGGCCCCGCGGAGGCCGGGCCGGCGGCGGAGCAGCGGGAGGAGGCCCGGGAGCCCGCACAGCAGGGCCCGGACACGCAGCGGCCGGAGGCGGGGGCTGGGGGGCAGGGGAGCCCCCGGAGCCCCCCTGGCGGCCCGGAGGGCAGCCTCGCCCCCGCAGAGGGCAGCGGCGAGGAGGAGCACCAGGAGGGGGCTGCCCAGGAGCCCGGCTGCACCCCCAGGACCGGCCGCGAGGGCCCCGAGACCGAGGTAGGTGGCTCTGCCCGCGGCTCCTCCCCTGATGGGAGGGACTCGGACCTCTGTCTCCCCCCCCCCTCCCCCACCCCCCCTCCCCCCCCACCCCCCCCCACCCCCCCGTCCCCCCATGTCCCGGCCGTTCCCAGGGCACCTGTGCGCCGCGCTGTGCGCCCTAAGCAGGGCTTAGACTAGGGGCGTCCTTTGTGGTGGCTCTTCTGTTTCTCCTCCCTCCTCCTCCCCTGCTCACCCCCTTCTGCCTGCAAACATGCCCCCGCCCGGTCCCTCCTGTGTTCCCGGCGACCTCGCTCTGAGCAGCTCACCGATGCCCTCCCAGCCACCAAAGACCAATGGCCCCTTGTCACCCTCCCCTCCGCCTCCCGCCCGCCCTGACCCCTCCCGCCAGCCCCTCCCCCTCTGTCTGGGGAGGAGTCCCGCCTGCTGACCTGGCCGCTCCTCGGGCTCCCACTGCCTGGCGGCAGCCGCTAGGCTGTGCCCCGGCCTCACCTCCACCTGCTGGCGACTCCGACTGCTCAGCACCGGCCTGGCTCCCAGGCCTCCAGTCCCCACGCCCCGCGCCCCCAGAGCCACACTCATCTATTCACTCAAGACTTCCTGTGCACATGCAGCTGAAACCCAGCCCCTTTGCCAGCCTCCCGTTCCTGCCCCTGAAGTACTGGCTCCTTTCTCTCTGTCACCCTCTCCACCCGCCCACCCACAGGCAGTCAGTCCATTGGTCTTCCTAAGTCTCCCACTGAGGGCCTTTGGTCTCTCCTCCTCACCACTGCCCGGCCCCATGGTACCCATCCCCTCATCTCCACAGTCACAGCCTCCTCAGAATCCTGGTCTCCAGGCCCACCCAGTGCACCGGCACCTCATTCACCTTCCGAATGCCAGCTCGATGCCTGCTCTCCTGCCCACACCTCCCTGTCCTTTGGTTACCTGAGTTCATGTTTCTCTGCAAGCTGACCTTTGCTGGCGTCCCCAGCCTTCACTGTCCCCCATGACAGGGCCCAGGGCTCCATCCTTCCCCACCTACCATTCCACAATAGGCAATGGCCATCTCACCAGCTTCCGCCGGCCCTGCCCCAGATCCCCCTGCACACCAGCCAGATGCTCTGGGCAGCTTGGGCCACCTGGAGCCCGCCTACCGCCCCTCGTTCTCCACGGGCGCTCCCTGATTGCCCGGGTCAAACACCCCAGCTGCTTGCACACCTTCCACTCAGTGCAGTCCATGAGGATGGCCCACGCCACACTGTGGATCCGTCCGTAAGCCTCTCCGCGTCTCAGCTGGAAACCTGATGAGGCCCAAGCAGCTCCTAACACATGGGGAGCTGACAGCGGTGCTCCCACAAGTGCTCAATCAATAGCTGGCTTCCTGGCCTTCCCTCCAGGGTCAGTCTTTTCTTTCCAGTTCTTTCTGTTCGTTTCCTTTTCTGAGCAGTGAACTTGAGTGGGAATGTGGGAGTAGGTAAGAAGTGGGGCAGGGAGGACGTGGGAAGCCAGGCATCAAAGAAGAGGCGGCATCACCTCATTGTTGAGGGCTTAAGGCTTAAGCTCTGGTCCCTGGGTGTAAGTCCTGACTCCACCGATTGCTAGCTGTGTGACCTAGGGGAAGTCACTTGACCTCTCTGGGCCTTCATTGCCCCATCTATGAAACAGAGCTAATAGAAGCATCTGAGTCATATCGCTTTGGTGAAGAGTAAATGAGTTGACGCATGTAAAAGACGCATCAGGTGCATGGCATCATTATTACTATTACTACTACGGTTGCTATTGTTGTCTGATCTGGCATCCCTGAGGAGACAGCTAGTGTCAGGATTGCCCCACTCTCCTCCCAATTCATTCTTTCCTCCTCCGCTCACAGGACAACACTCCTGTCCAGGACACGAGGATGTAAAGAGGAAGCCCTGTGCTGGGCAGCGAAGGGGCTAGAGACGGCTCCTCCGAAGTAGCAGCCGCAATGGTAGCAGCAAATGAGACGTCAGCAGCGGACTACGGGCAGGAGTCCACCTGAAGACACGGGTCGTGCTTCCTGGCCTCCACCCCAGCCTGGCAGAGACTGGGGCTGAGGACAGCAGATTTTATCAGCTTGCATTTGTGTTATTTGATGGACTTGGTTTAGAAAACAAAAACAAAACACTTATTTAAAACAACTTGCAAGAGTGACTACTCCCTGGGGATACTGGTCAACCCCTGGGTCCAGACACTGTCCACTCGCACCCACCCCTGCGCTGACCTCGGGACGGACTCTGACTGAGCTGATCGGATTGTGTGTGAAGTGCTAGCCTTTTACTGCCCAAGAGTTTTTACCTGCTCTAATGTAAGCAAAACCCAATTTCAGGTGGCCAGAAACGACAAAGAAAATAGTATTGCTGAAAATGTGAATCCTGCGACAAAAAGACCTTAAATTGTGTCAAGACCCCGAGACAGCCTTCCAGCAGGGCCCAGATGTGAACTGGCCAGTCAACTCTTAAAACACTGGACTAGGGTCCTAGCTTGTTTGGCTCAGTAGATAAAGGTCCCGGTTTCAATTCCAGCCAAAGGCACATGTCCGGGTTCTCTGCCCTCAGTGGGGGGCATGCAAGAGGCAGCCAATCAACGACTCTCATCATTGATGTTTCTATCTCTCTCCCTCTCCCTTCCTCTCTGAAATCAATAATATATATATATACACACACAAAACATATATATATATATATGTTTGTATATATATGTTTGTATATATATATATAAAACAAAAACAAAACACTGAACTAGGAGAGATAATCATAGAAACAAAAAACAATGCATCTGTGCCGGCAGCAGGAGCTTTTGTGGTTCCCTAGGTGCCAGGCTCAGTCACCCCTTCTGTCGGGAGGAGGAAGCGGCAGGGAGCAGATCCCGTGGCCAGGCCTCCGTGGACAGGCCGATCCAATAGGTCTCTGGGCCCTGCTGTAGCTCCCCATCCTGAAAGCAGACCAGTGCGGACGATGCTTGCCCGCTGATTCATCCAGGGAGGCCTTGAGCCGTTCCTGGGAGATGCTTTGAGCGCTGGGATGTGCAAACTACATAATAAAAACGCCCTCCCCGGCTTCCCTGGGAAGCCCAGCTCTCCTGCTGCCTCCTGAGGACTGGTGGGTCTTCAGTCCATTCTCACGTAGCTCTTGCTGTCTGCTCTGTGGAGGGGACCGGAGGCTTTGCAAGGACGGGGCCTGACTCCCCACTCCTTGGCTCAGAGCCTCTCCCCCATAATGCACTCCTGCTGAAAGATGTGAATCCAAATAAACGTTTCATCGTTGGGCTTGGGCCTTATGAGTTCAGTCCCTCAGCAGCTGAGTCTGTTATTTCTCTGGAGGTCTGTGATACCACACACTCTCCTCCAACTTCAAAAATCATCTCCCAGGTGAAGAGGCCTTACTTCACCCCTGGTACCTCAACTTCCATCCCACTCACAGTTCTCCTAACTCCAGGATAGTGTTAATATTTGGGATATTGTTTCTCAAAACTTTAAAAATATAATGCATTTTCTAAAACATGTAACCTAATGAGGTCTGGTGCTGTAATAAGATTTGTATTTTAGCAGAGTTCTGGAGCCATGGAGTGCCTATGAAATATCTTTGTCTCTCTATCTGTCATCCATCATCTACCTATCCAGCCATTGACAGAGATGTATCCCCCCTGAACAATACATGGTTTTATTTATATGTGTCTTTGGGTCATTTGTACACTCACACACAGCGCCAGGTAAGAATTCTGTGAATGGCCCTAGCCAGTTTGGCTCAGTGGATAGAGCATCGGCTTGTACACTGAAGGGTCCCAGGCTTGATTCTGGTCAAGGATACATGCCCAGGTTGCAGGCTTGATCCCCACCCAGTAGGGGGCAGCCAATCAATGATTCTCTCTCATCACTGATGTTTCTTATCTCTTTCCCTCTCCCTTCCTCTCTGAAGTCAATAAAAATATATTTTTTAAAAAGAGTCCTGTGAATGTGTGCATGGTTGTGAGTGTGTGTGACCAGAAGGAAGAAAGGGGTGTGGGTGTGAAAATAAAACTCCATTTTGCTTCTGGAGCGGCTGTCCTTTATAGTCGCGGATGAGAAAGGATCAATAGCAATGGCAAGAATGTGGTGGTGAAGGAGCGTGTGTCATGTGTCAAAACACCTTCCCACCTACCCATTCCCTATTAGTTACAGTATTTGATCTATTTTGTGGAAAAAAAGAAAAAAAGGGAGGCCCATTCCCAGGGTTGTTATGTGACTGGGACTCACCAGGTGCCGCAGCCTGGCTGCCTATAGCTCCCCTTTCCCGAAAGGTGTCGCATTTGCATGGTTGATCCCGGAATGTCATAGCTGGGCATGAAAGAAATCCATTGTGTTAGGTAGCAACCAGGAAGACTTTCATTCAGACTTTCTTTTTCTTTTTAATATATATTTTTATTTATTTCAGAGAGGAAGGAAGAGGGAGAGAGAAACATCTATGATGAGAGAGAATCATTGATTGGCTGCCTCCTGCTCGCCCCCTACTGGGGATAGAGCCTTCATTCCAGGCATGTGCCCTGACCAGGAATCGAACTGGTGACCTCCTGGTTCATGGGTTCACGCTCCACCACTGAGCCACGCCAGCAGGGGCTTGTTCAGACTTTCTTCATCACAGGAGGCAGAGGGAGCCATGGAATTGGGCTCGGATGCCCCTGGGTGCTCCCTTGAGTCATGAATGACTCTGCCCCTTCATACTGTCATTTTACATAAAACTTTGAGAAAATTTCTTGGACTTAGGCAAACCTATCATGTCAGTTATCTCACTAAATGCTTCTGTTTTAAAGAAAACGTGAACTGAATAGCTCTTTAACCAGCATTCAGAGAAAATTCTACAATGATTACATGGTTGGTATTCAAAGGATGGGTATCACCAAGAGGCAGGCACTCCCTCCCCTTCAAGAAAACTACAGGACCTCCGACATAGTCACTGCTGTTGGGCTGTCTAAGGAGCCCTGCGTGCCCGATGGTGCCAGGCACTGCCCCTCAGGAGGGACGGCCATCTCGCTGCCGCCTCTGCAAGAAGTCAGAGCAGGAAGGCACAGAAGGACCCGCTCTGCGTGGCCTCACGCCCTGTCTCCTTTCATTCCACCAACACAAGGAGACGCATAGTTGTAAGAACCCTGTTTTCTTTGTGACTTAAAAATGTTTGGTGCCAGATGGGTACTAGACTTACAGGGGGATCACTTCATAAGGTCTATAAATGTAAACCACTCTGCTGTACACCTACAACATATAATAGTGTATGTCACCTATAATTGAAAAATTAAAAATAATGATAAAGGCCAATTATCTTAATTTCTCTCATTATAAAAGCCTTTATATTAGAAAATTTGTGGAGGAAAATAATATTTTAAATAGATAAAAATTTATTCATAATTCCAGTACCCAGAGATAACAATATTTTATGGGTGTTCCTCTAGTATCCACGTTTTGTTTTTCTTGCTAATTTTTGGTTGTTACAAAATTAGGATCTTACTCTATGTATCTGTGTATCTTTCTTGTTGGTAACACACTATCCTCAGCCCGTCTTCACAAGCAATCACAGTTTATCCTCTTCCGTTGGCCCAGGAACATCCAGAGCAAGACCCGGTCTGTGTACAACACGGGGTACTATGATTGGGGGGGGGGGGGGTGAAGGCCTTCTCAGTTCTGTTCCTGATCTAGACCTTAGATCCCTGCCACCTTTATGACCTCATGCACCCTCAAAACTTAAAACAAGGGACAACTTTTGAATGAAAACTGAAAGGACGGAGGCCAAAGTTCATTCCTGACGATGTAGTGATGGCAAAATCCAAAGGGAGGTATGCAATCAACCTTAGACAAAAGGATCAGCGAGGGGAACCACATAGAAATGCTTTTCGGAAAAGTAGCTGAAACTACCGTAGGACGTTAGACTGGAGACTGGAAAAAGACACAAATTTTCAGTCAGATCCAAGTTTCTGTTCGGATCAGGACATGGCTTTCAATGGGCGAAGCAAACTACCTTCCCTACCCTCCCTGACGTGGGGTGGCTGCGATCCGTCAGTGCCTCACCCCCCAGGCTGCAAACCAGGCTCAGCACAGCCAAGAGGCCGGTCCGTGTGCCAAGTTAGCGGACCAGGCTGCGCGGCTACCGTCCCACGGATCCCGAATTAGGGGCAGCTAAGGAGGGAAGAGGGCTTCAGAGTGGGGAGCCTCTGCAATGTGACCACAGACCGCAAGGAGAAGGGGCGGGGGGCCTGTGGAAGAAGGGGACGCCCAGAGCTAAGGCCGACAAGGCCAAGGGGGAGCCCAGGCCAGGACCCCTGACGCCTGAGAATCAGCGCTCCTGCTCGGCTGGGCCCAGAGCCACAGGGTCAGTGCCCTGCAGCGGGGGGTGGGGGGTTGGGGGGTGGGACGAAGGCCCCTCCCACCGCCGCCGCCCCTCCCCTCCTCCTAGCACCGGGGCGCCCACCTGCGCTCCCTCCTCCACGCCCTTCAGGCCAGCTTCTCAGGCTCCGGGGGTTCCTAGCCAGCGCCTCCTCTCCTGGCCAGTGGCCTCAGTAGCTACCTAGGTCTCTGGGCCTGGACTCCTCGCTGCGCCATGAGGACAGCAGGACCCAAGGGCAGGTTGCTGTGACGGTCCCGCGAGTGCCATGCGCGCAAAGAGCTTAAAAGAAGGCACGATCCATCCTGCACGTTGGGGGAGAGTTGGCTGTTAATTCTCCTTGGGGATTGTTTTCTTCCCACCGCCTTCCGAGCCGGGATAAGGGCGTCTTTCTCTCGCCCGTTCTTCCTGCCCTCGTACCCAGACCGGCGCGTCCCGGAGGCTCTGCCTGCACCCGCCTAGCCGGTTCCGGCGCGCGGGCGCCCCACTGGCGGAAAGGCCCGGCGATCCCGGGCTCCGGGACCGCGGCTTCCCGAGGGGACGGTGCGAAATGAGCGCCCCCGCCGCCCTCCTCCGCGCGACGGGAAGGGCTCGGCGCCCAAGCCGGGGGAGGGAGCGCCCGGGCGGTGCAAGGGTCGCTGGCCGCGTCCGAAGGGAAATAAAGCGAAAGGCGGAAGGAGAGAGGCGGGTGAGGCTGAAGGGAGGCGCCTCGAGCCCGTCTGCCGAGAGCGGCTCGTTGGTCTAGGGGTATGATTCTCGCTTCGGGTGCGAGAGGTCCCGGGTTCAAATCCCGGACGAGCCCAGGCTCTGAGTTTTTTCTTAAACCTTTAAATTAAAAGCTTTTTCTTTTTCACTCAGGCCATTTAGCGCTTTATATTCAACAACCCCAGCCTAGCGCTCGAACGTTGATCGCCTTAATCGTGCGAAGTAGGGCATCGAATGAGGTCGATTCGTACAAATATATGATTGCCGTGCGTCCGAGAGTGAGGCATGGCAATTGCTTATAACCCTTCAAAACACGTGCTTGCAAAAGAGACGCCTCGTGCAGAATCCGGGGGGCACCCCAACCCCTCCTAACCGGGGCAGAGGGCGCCTGAGTTAGCAGGTCCCAGGTGAGGGCGGGCCAAGCTCTTCCAGCCGAAGCCCAGCCCCGCGGGCGGTGGACGTGCCCGGCTTGGGCAAGGGTAAGGCTCACCCACCTGCAGGCAACCCAGGTCGGGACTGTGCGCCCGCAGCGTGCGCGCCGCGCTCCGGAACAGCCGCGTCTGTAGTGTTTTCATGTTACATCTTGTAATGGTATTTAAATGTAAAGTGCGCCCTCGGCTCAGGAAGTTTCATCTTCGTGTTTTGCAACAATACATGTTTATAAGATGTATTTGTTTAGAAATTTTAAATTTTTTAAGGGAAGAAAAGTGGGCTCGTCCGGGATTTGAACCCGGGACCTCTCGCACCCTAAGCGAGAATCATACCCCTAGACCAACGAGCCGGTGTGCTGCAACGTCGCCGCCATGACAAAGGAATGTGAGGCTACTTGGTCCCGCGCCCCCAAGCGGTTATTTTTATAATGGTGTTTATCTTCAGTTCTTAAAATTCTATGGTTAGTTTTCTATTTTATTTTCCCTTTTGATATTTGCAAATCAGTGACACAAAAGAAAAGTGTCATTGCTGGTGTAATATTTACCTCTTATTTAAAAAACCAGAATTCTGTGTATATTCGTGACTAACAAAGTGCATGAGTGTGTGGCAATGCCTGTGGCAGCCAGATTCCAGGCTCTACTTTACTGAGTTCTGGTTGTTGCAGTTTCCAATTACAGTAAAATTGTCGGTTTCTAGCCTGCATGTTATCCTAGTGTTCAAAGCACCATCTTTCCAGCCTTGTGAATTCGCATCTCTCTTTTTACTCAAACTGTTGTCTTCAGCTGGAAAATCTCTTTCCTTTTGCATAAATCCCAAACTCTTACCTTTCCAGAAAAAAAGATACTTTAACATATTAAAACCAACTGTATGTGTCTCCTTTCATCACAATTTGCTGGAGGCCAAGGCTCCCACACCAACAGTGAATTATATAATTGGCGACCAATTTTATAATTGGTTATAATTGGTGCCCAATTGTCCCAATATCTCTAAGGGCATAGCTTATTTATTATATTTAAAATTTTTAACTAGTATTGAGGTTTATGCTAGCAAAGCCAGCACTCGATGAATAATTGCCGAATGACTGTAATTTGTTTCAAATTCACTAACAATGTAAATGTTGGTACTTGGACAATCGGTAATTATGAAGTGTCACTCCAGCAAATAAGTAACCAGATAGGAAACAATAAACAGGGTGACTAATCTAAATAGACCTATTCACTTATTTTATTTCATATGCCATTTGTCAGCTTATTCATTTGCTCCCTAGCTCGTTTATTCAACAAACATTGAGAAGCTCTTCGTGCCAGACACTGAATTGTCAGCTTTCTCCCTGTGGTTTGACACCAGTAAATCACCGTGTGGAGCTCTAATGCTCAGCCCCACTCTAGTTTCATTTGAAACTGTCCTCGACTTCCCCTCCTACTCCTTCCTTCTTCTTAGAGCTCAAGGCCAAGGGGATAATACACTTCAAACTGTTAATCAGTTCTAGATGCCCGAATAGTTTACTCCTCAAACCTAACAAACGTGCCCCCCAAACTTAAGACGTTTGTATTTCCCCAGAATGAGGAAACTACAAAATATAACTTACATGAAATAATGAAAACTTCAGATTTCTGAGAACCCCAGTCTCTGTAGTTACTGAGAGGGCTCTAGGCTCTCCTTTCCCACTTGAACTTACTAGAGTTAATATCATCTTTTGGGGTTTTCTTTTTCTTCCTCCAACTTCTCTCTAGTGATTGAAAAAGAGTTTGCCTTTTACTCTGCAGGCTCCCGGAGAGGATCTCATTGGCCCCTCACAACAGAGATGCAGGAAGACCGACAGGAACAAAACTCAAGATATCAACTGCCTGGCTGGCGGTGAGAAACCTCTCTCCGGTCAGAGGAATGCCTGTGGCCCCTGCAGGAGGCATCCGTCCCCAGTGAGGGGAGGTGGTACAGAGATGGTTGCAGGGCAGGGCAGTCACAGCGAACAAAGAAGCCTGGTGCCCTATCCCCCATGACAATGAGCACCTCCCAAGGTCCCCGTTACCCAAAGGTGCCTCTGTGCCCAGAGACATCGGAGCCAGTAAGACTCTTTCAGATTTTCAAAAATGTGTAATAAACATGCAACCCTTCTCCTGAACTAAGATGTTCTTTCCATAGAAATATCAATGAAACTGGTTTAGCTCAGGCAAACCTTTCTCTCTGTGGTCTGGAATTCACCTTTAACTCTATCTGATATTTATCCCTTAACCATCAAATTCTGTGTTCCAGGAGCCTGGGTATCATCCCCCATGGACCACAGTTTTCCACTGTCCTCTGTCCACAAGTCTCAAAACATGGAGGGAGGGAATGCCAGTGAGAATGCAGAGGGTGAGGAGGGTTCCGCCACAGTCACAAAGATCTGTTGGGAACTTTGGTGCGGGTCACCCTCTTCCTACTGTCTCCCGCTAGTCCCAGCTCTAGAAAACCCTGCTCAACAGATGATTCCTCAACACCAGATGATCCTGAGTGTCCCTTATCTCAACCCTAGGAAGAGAAAGCAAACGCCCCGAGGGTCCCCAAGGTAGACTCCTTCTTAGTGTGGACTGTAGGGAGCAGGAACCCAGGGGCACCCAGGGGCCAGGGCACAGGCAACCATCAGCCAAAGGCCCCTGCATGTGACTGTCATTGCTGATTCTTGGGGGGCGGGGGGCTCTCCCCCAAGGAGCCCATTCCTTTCAGAGGCAGCAGCCCTTAACCAAGGACCCTTGTGACCTTCTTGGAAGCCTCCCGCTCATGCCACCGTGTTGCCTCCACTGCTCCAGCTGGGAAGAGTGGTTTCCAGCATGGAGGAGGAGGTGCTGAACGGAGGAGGGCTGCTGAATGATCCTCGGACGCACAGTAATGATTGGAAGGCAGGGGTTTTGTTTTTGTTTTTTCCATTTACTCCCTTGACAGAAGGGTCAGAAACGGCCCAGCGAGGACAGCGCGGTGACAGCCACCCTGCGTGGCGTTCTCTTTGCAGCCGCTGCAGACGAGCTCGGTAACGCTCCCCTGTTCGTCCAACAGGCACGTCCTACCTCCTGACGGCCTGGTGTTCCTCCTCGTGGAAACATCTGCTCCGGATGCATGTTCGTCCTTCGGCCGCTACTGAGCGGACGCCTCTGCGGGACCACCTGCTGCCTCCACGGGGGCTCTGCCCAGGCCCAGCTCACTGGCTCCCCCTCAGGCCAGGCCCCGGGTGTTGTCCCGGGAACCGGGCGCGCGCTCTCCGCTCCTCCCGGCTTTCCAGATGCGTTTCTCCTGCGGAAACTTACCGCCCGACGGACACCCAGTTCTGCCGTCCCTTCTCCCAACTGCACGCTCCCCGCCGCCCCCGGTTTCACCGCATCTCTCTCCTCTCTGTCCCCCAGCTTTCCCTTGGTCAGCGGTTCCGGGGACCCTCCCAACACCGACCAGTCTTTACTGGGCAGCCGGCGCGCGCGGCCCCTTCCTGCGCCAAGGTGACCCCGCTCAGCTGGGCCGCGCGCCGGGGGGTCCGGGTGGGAACGCCCCCACCCCGTTTTCATTAACAAACCCGGGGACGTTTTGTTGGCGAAAACGAAGCAAACAGAAAGCGCCCTCCTTTGTGTCCCAGGCGGTAGGAGAGCTCCCGGTTCCCGCCGCTCCTGCAGCCCAAGGGGTTCCCCAGGGGAGGGGAGGCAAGATGGAGACCGCTGGAACCAGAGGTCCCGGGAGGCAGCCCCTCACACATTATCCAGGCCGGGCGTGGGGACCGGGCAGGGGGAGGTGTGTCAGGGCCATTGAAACGAGTCCCCCCGCCGCCCTTACTGACTTTGTCACTAAACTGCGGTTCCCGTGGGTGAGGCTCACAGAAACCGGGACGAGCGGGCGCAGGGGCGGGACCCTCGGGCAAAGACCCGCGACGAGGAGACAATGGGGGGAGCGGAGGGATGGGACCCTGGAGAGGCGGAGGGGACCCGGCCGGGGCCGGGCGGCGGGGCGGCAGGCGGCAGCCACCGGGCAGAGCGGCGGAGCCGGGTGCTGGCCTCCCGCTCGGGGCTGAGAGCCCGGGGGGGGGGGGGGGGGGGACCGGGGAGGCGCGGCCTCGCCTGACGAGAGGGGTGATGGACAGTCGTATCTCCCAATAGCGTCCTTCCAGGGGCGCGGGGCCGAGCAATGGGAGGACGGGTGGGCGGGGCCGGGCCGGGGCGGGCGGCGGTGGCGGGGCCGCGAGTGGGGGCGCGGCGCGGAGGTGCCACTGGGCGGTGGTGGCGAGGCGGCGCCCCTGCGCGGAGCGGAGCGAACGGCAGCCGGGCCCGGTGCGCGGCCGCGGGGCTGCAGCGCACGACGATGGCCGCGCCCGCCGGGGCCGGGGCGGAGACTGCGACCCTGGACCGCCGGCGCTGCCTGTGGTCGGTGCTGGCGGCGGCGCTCGGGCTGTGTGAGTGCGGCCGGGGCGGGCGGGGCTCGGGGCTGCGGGGACTCCGGCGGCGCTCGCCCCTGCGGGGATCGGGCCCTGCGCGCTGGCGCCGAGGCGGGGGCCCGGCGCGGCCTGCGCGCACGGGGCCGGGATTCAGCCGGCGGGGAGCGCGGCCGCGGAGGCCCGGGACGTGCGGCGCCTCTCCGTCCTCCTGCCCCGGGTCCCCGCGTGTTGGGGAGTCGGGGAGCCTACCTGCTGGGTCCCGGGTCGTGCGGCAGCGGCCCTGCTCCGCGCTCCCGCCGAGCCCCCCGCGCGGGGACCCGGGCGCCCAGGCCCGCCTGGGATCCGGGTCAGGAGTCCGGGTTCTGCGTGCTGCACCTTTGGGGAGTGGCCGGCGTTTCGGCGGGGCCTTTGTTGTCGGTTCCTTTTCGCGTTTTCCGAGACAGTTTGCTTTGTGTTTCCCTTCCCACCGCTCCCAGCCCGTTTCGGAGCCTCCCCGATGGGAGAGCCCAGAGGCTCCTGCCTCATCCTCACCCCGGAGCCGGCGGGGCGCCGGGAGGAAGTGCCCAGGGGGTCGGGGTGAGGACACAGAGACCCGGGCATGGAAAAGACTTTGGTCATATCCGCAATCTTGCCAGACATGGGCACCCTGGTTTGACAAGACATAGGACAGTAAAAAGCACATTTTTCTTTTCTCTTTTAAATCACTTTTTTTCCTTGACAAATTTTATGGGTCAAACTGAAGGTGAACTTCTGCCCCAGTGTGTGGACTTGGGTGGTGGTTTTGTGGACCCCGGCGTGGCTCTGCCCTGGGACCCCCGGGAGAACTCGCTCTGCCCCAGGATGTGACTGAGGAATGGTCACAGAGGCCAACTCCTAAGAAACACACACTTTCACTTCTTTTGTTCTGCAAAAGTGTCAGTTGCATCACTAATACGAGTATCTGAATACGAGTTTACTCATTAATTTCTTTCACGGAAGAAGTCCTTAATGTAATTGCTGGAACCAGGAACTATGGGATTAAAGCAGTGACTCCAGGGGCCATAAAGTATAAATGTGAAGGTCCCCCCACCTCTGGAGGCTGCCAGATAAGATACAATCCATTCTGTATAAATGTTTCTTCTGAGACCAAAAAAAAAAGGTTAAAAGTGGTGTGTGTTTTTGTTGTTTTGTGAGGATTTTTTTTTTGGGGGGGGGCGGTTGGTGATGGTGGTGTCATTTGTGTTCTAAGACAAGTAGGAAACAGCCTAACCCTAAGGTTTACCAGAAATCTTGTGTGCTTCAGACAGAATTATGCAGGAGAGGCCAGGCATTGATACTGAGGACAAGGCAGTTGGGCTGATCTTAAACTCCGGATGTTAAAAGTGGTAAAACTGAAAAATTAAAAAACTTAACCTTAATGGATATTAGTACGAAAAGATCATTAGAATAATAGCGACCTACAGCTTGGACATACCTGGCTGTTCAGTAATGAAAGATGGATGCTGGTATGTGCAAGCCAGCAGGTGTTGTTATTAGTTAATTTTAGAAAAATACGCCTTCTTCTTGCCAAGTCACCTTTTCCTGATCATGGATACTGTATATAACAGTTCATGTCTCATGGGAAACCTTCTTGAGTTTGATCCAGGTTCAGTTAGTCAACAAACATTCATTAAGCGCCTTTTAAATATTAAGCACCAAAAGTATTGTAGGAAGGAGATCCCTGCCCTCACGTAATGTACAGTTCGGTGGGAGAAGCAATATAAGAAGTCTCTCGGTAATGGCGTGCTGTTAGGGCACTAAGGAGAGTCATCACTTCAGACCAAAGTTCGGGCCCTGGAGAAAGGTCTGGGGAAGCTGAGGGGTTATGAAGAAACCTTACATCAGCATCAACGTGGTGGGAGGTAGGAGTGCATAAGAGTTGGTGGGAGTTGAGGCGGGGAGCCAGCCAGAGGCACTAACTCCCCAAGGACCCTGCTTGCCATTCCTCAGGCTGGATTTTGTCCTAAAGGCTGCAGGGGGCAGGGGTTTCTCTACTGGGCTAGAGTGGTGTGAGGCTCACCGGAGGGCGATCGTAACAATCCAGAGGAAGATGAAGACCTGAATACAAGCAGCGTGCTATGAGGAGAGGACATTTTCATGAGCCAATTAGAAAATAAATGTGATCGGGCTTGGAAATGCATTTGCCGTGGACTTGAAAGAGGGAGTGTATGGTGATCCTGAGGTTTGGGGTTTGGGAAGCTGGGCATATTTTTGGAAAATGGGGCTTTCCCCAGAGGAAGAATATGGGATGAGGGATGGGAATCTTGGAGGAGGGAGACGATGACATTACTTTCAGATGTTGAGTCTAAGATGCTGTGGACACATCCCAGCAGAAATGGGCAGAAGACAGCTGGGGAGATGGTTCTGGAGGTGAGAACATTCTGGTTGGAAACACAGACATGGGAGACTTTAAAACTGTGGATTGCCCGGATGAGGTCACCAAGTGATAGTGTATTGAACGAACTAGCAGGGGCCAAGGACAGAACTTCAGGGTGTACGGACCCCGGGAAGGGGGCTTGATGGTTAAGAGAAGAACCACGAGAGAGTGTGGTGTCTTGGAAACCAAGCGAGAATGGAGTTTTAGGGGAGAGCAAGTGGTTAATGGTGTCAGATGAAGGGACATTGGGTACAAGAAGGACACACTGGATTTGGCAATTGGAATGTCTTTGGTAGCCCTTGGGTAGGAATGAACACAGAAGAAGAAGAAATCTCAGTAATTTGCACCCCCATTGCAATAAATGGCAGCACCATCTGTCTGGTTGCTCAAGCCAGAAACCTAGTCCATCCTTGATTCCTCCTTATCCTTCATCCTCCACATCCAATCAGTTCTCCTATCTCCCAAATGCATCTGGAATTCACCCACCCCTTTCTCATCAGTGGCCCACTCCTAGCATTTTAATCAAAATCCCTGCCATTTTTGCCGGTATTACTGTGCTAGCCTCCCAGCTGTGTCCCAATGTCCCCCCTCTTGCCTCTTTTTTAAAAAAAATCCTCAGCTGAGGATATGCTTATTGATGAGAGAGAGAGAGAGAGAGAGAGAGAGAGAGAGAGAGAGAGAGAGAGAGAGAGAGACTCAGTTGCCTCCTGTATGCATCTGAACCAGGGATCCAAACCACAATCTAGGCATGTGCCCTGACTTTGGTGTGCAGGACTCTGCTCTAACCAAGGAGGCACCTCCTTAGGCCCCTCTGACTCTTTTTAATCCATTCTTCACACAACTGCAAGAATTATTGTTATTAAAATGCAAATCAGATCATGTTGCTTTCTTTTTTAAAAAATATATTTTATTGACTTTTTACAGAGAGGAAGGGAGGATAGAGAGTTAGAAACATCAATGAGAGAGAAACATGGATCAGTTGCCTCCGGCATGCCCCCTACTGGGGATGCACCAGCAACCAAGGTACATGCCCTTAATCAGAATCGAACGCGGGACCCTTGAGTCTGCAGACCAACACTCTATCCACTGAGCCAAACCAGTCAGGGCTTATATTGCTTTCTTGTTTAAAATCCTTAAACAAGAAATCCTTTTCCATTGCCCTGCCGCTGCCATCCCAGCTTCTCCGTGCGCCTGCTGTGGGCTGTGTGACCCTGTTTCTGTCTTCCCCTCTGACGCTTCGCCTGCTGCCTCTTGCCCTCCCTGTCATCTTTCTGCTCTTTGACTCATTCCCACCGCCTCCTTTGCACTTGGAATGCTCTTTCCCTGGAACTGCCCCGTGCTGTCTCCTCTTCATTTTGGCATAAATGTCACTTCCTCAGAGGGACCTTCTCCAACCACCTTAGCCACAGGAGTCCCCTGTTATCAATTCCTGGCCCTTTGCTTTCTTATTGTGATTTCTAACTTGTTGGTTTTTCTTTTCTTGTTCCCTCCACTAGAATCCAGGGTGGACACCATGGTTGTCTTGTTCATAGAAGTATCTCTAGTGTTTTACTTCATGCGTATGATAGATGCTAATATGTATTTGTTAAATGTCAGGGGGCTGTAGACCTGTCTTGATAACAGTTTGTAATATGTAGTTAGAATTATTGTTGGCATTCAATAATTGTTTATTGGGAGAAGGAATATTTTTCCCAAGTGTGATTTCATGCATTATCTGATTATTTTCATTCTTTACCGTTTCTTATTTCTTCAGAGATGTACAGAATGAATGAACTAACATTTTTCAACTACTTTAGACACATAGCTTTGGAATGACTAGTTATTTCATACTTAAATTATTTTTAATATATATTTATTGATTTCAGAGAGGAAGGGAGAGGGAGAGAGAGATACAAACATCAGTGATGATGGAGAATCGTTGATTGGCTGCCTCCTGCACACCCCTCACTGGGCATCCAGCTCACAACCAGGCATGTGCCCTTGACTGGAATTGAACTTGGGACCCCGCGGTCGGCAGGCCGCCGCTCTATCCACTGAGCCAAACCAGCTGGGGCTTAAATTATTTTATCATGTTTGTGGTGGCACCTACGCGTATTATCAATAGGACTTTTCTGTATTAAAAATATTTTATTTTAATCCTCACTGGAGGTATGAGAATATTTTTTCCGTTGATTTTTAGAGAGATAGGGAGGAGGGAAGGGGAGGGAGAGAGAAACATAGATGTGAGAGAGACACATCAATTGTTTGTTTGTTTAGAGAGAGAGGAAGGGAGAGGGACAGATAGAAACATTGATGAGGGAGAAACATCATCAATCTGCTGCCTCCTGACTGCCCCCTATTGGGGATGGGGCCTGAAACCCAGGCATGTGCCCTGACGGGAATGGAGCCAGTGACCTCTTGGTTCATGGGTTGATGCTAAGCCACTGAGCCACACTGACCGGGACCTACTGAGTTTTAAAAATGTGATTTCATTGGAAAAAACTCAATATATACAGATTTTTACAAATCGTATTTCTAGAAAATGCTGACCTACCCGCTAAATGTTCCTCACCTTCCTTTCTGTCCCCACTGAGCTGCTTTCCTTCATTCAGTCACATTTCTCCTGCATGATTAGAATCTGCCA